TGAAGAATAATTTTTCAAAAAAACTTTTTAAAAAGAAAAAGAAGAACTATTGCAAAGAAAAACTTTTGTACAAAAACATTTGATTGCTTTTTTGGTAGATTGAAAGCTTTGTATTCTTGCCATTTGAATTTTACATATTAAAACCAGACAAGCACTGCGCTTGGTCTTGCTCACAACGAGGTTATGGTGCTCACAACGAGGATTAAAGCAAAAATAGAGTTATATCTTCGTTTCTACGAAAGACTTTCAGATAATAATTTACGCTGATGACTTGTGGGCATCTGTTTTAGGTAAGAATGCCACAAAACGTCACCAGAATCGACGTTTTCAATGTTAAATTTAGGTCCAAAGATGAAGTTGTCTCCAGTTTTCCCAGCTACCCCGAGTGGACTGCCGTTCCGCACGTATTTCCATCAAATTGTCCACCAACAGACAATATCTTTTACATGTGCACCCTTACTCGGAAAACACATTAGCTAGCTAAACTGCATTTCCGATATTTTTCATAAATCAGGCTAGACATTTAACTTTTGAATCAGGTTGTCCTGTCGGGCAAGTAGTTTTTTTAAAACTACTTGCCCTGACCTAAGACTTACTTGTTCTGACCTAAAAATGGTAAAAATGTATAAATCCAGAAAAAACAAACAAGCTCATACATTAAATACTTCTTGTGATTAGGTAATGTTAACATATGGCAATTAAACTGGACATATTGTTTATGAAATTGATTGTTAGTTAGACACAAATAATTTTTTGTATTTAGTAGTTTTTCTAAAACATCGCCGATGATCGGTTCATCTGTTTATTCAATGTGAATATACTAACGGTCATGTACATTGTTTGATATAGGAAACGGATGGAAAAAAAATTGAGCATGCGCCGCGGTATAACAGGTAATTCCCCGTTCAATCATCAAAGTCAAACCAGCCGTAAACGAGTCTTTCGTTTGACTAAAGTTTCTATAATGTTGTTACTAATTAGATTAAACAATAAATCATTTTAAATGGCAAAAACTTTAAATTTAACAATTATATTTAAAAGATCACTCATGATTATTATCATATTTTCAATGATAATCTTTACATTGCAAACATCAAAAAGTTTAAACAACAGCATAACCCGGGGGAATAACCTTGAAACAAAATTAGATATAGCTATTATTTAAGAACGGGGAATTACCTTACCGCGGCGCATGCTCATATTTTTGCTTCCGTTTCCATTATCAACAAATGTACACCTGACCGTAGTATATTCACATTATTGAAGCTAATGAATTCATGGTGTAATTTTTGTTTTAAAGATGTTTATAAATGAAAAGATGTTTATTTCTATTCATTTTGTACATGCATTTTGTCAATGATGGTTTTTTATTTTCACTTGCCCTGTCGGACAAGTGCCTTTCAAAATAACTTGCCCGGACCAAACTTTTAGTTGTCCCGGGCAGTCGGACAACCGTTAATGTCGAGCCCTGTAAATGTCTGCAATCTTCAAAAATTATGAAAAAAGTCACCTTGTTTATCGTGTCACACGTCAAAGATGGGTGCTCACAACGAGGGAACGGAAGTTGCTCACAACATTTTAACCGATGGACATTTTTCACTCGTTGTGAGTTAAACGGGCGTGTAACAGTAACGAAGCTGATAAAATGGTAATACTAGCAAATTGTCTTACAAGTGATATCTTGACATCAATTACTCTTGTAGCTATCTAAATATATACATGAACTTGATTATCATGTAATGGTACTCTTTTTATTTTGTTTCGAAAAAGAGGGTACATGTAGTGGTTACGTTGCTACTAATTAGCTCCTTCTGATATGCTAAGCCTATTTATCGTATAGCAGTCTATGTAAGGCCTCAACAGACAGGTAGGATTTTGAAAGTACAACACCAATTTAAAACTAAGATGTACAGCAAATCTTAATGTGTGAAAGCTACTATTTCTTGATTTCGGAAACCTTATGTCGAGATGTAAGGGATAGGACATGTCTATTTTTGAAAATCTTGTCGTACCGAATTTTTACAGACCTCCCACAATGACAAGTAACAGATAAGCAAATTATCTCCTGATAATGGATGTAATGAATGAAATTCCAGAAACAATTAGGGCTAAAAGATAAACAAAGTAGTAAGATGGGGTATAAAAAATGATGTTGATAAACTCTTCAGGAGACCCAAAGTTGTGTTGTGTTCGAATCCCAAATTATTCCGAAAATGATTATGTCACGGTTTGAATTGTTCTCTAAATTACATGAATTTGGGGAGGGGAGGTAGTTTGTAGGCGGCCACATAGCTTTATCAGTGAGCCGCAGTAACGGTACCGAGGTCCCAGGGGTTTTTTTTTGGAAGTCCGGGCAGGCTTCAACATTAAAAAAATATATATATATATATATTTTAATGGAGGTGTTTCAATCATTACTCATGGCCGAAAAAAAAAGTATTAAGTGAGTAAAGTATGTAAAGAAATCAATGTAAAAAGGGACCCTTTTCAGGGTGAAACCTCAGAAGATTCTTTTACAGTATAGGAATTACCGTCTGAATGCCAAGTGTTGTAATTAGCTTTTGAAAATTGTACATCTTATCTCTAATTTTAGTGCTGTACAACTAAATCTACCTCTGTTGGAGGCCTTAAGGAACATAATTCAAAAGCGAGTTTTAAAATATTTGACTATATATCACTTTCCCAATAAACCTTTCACCATTTTCTCACAAGATTGTATATTATGTCTTCATATTTTATGTTCTATGCACTTATCTATGTTGGGTTTCTTTTTTGTTACTTTGAATATAAATTGAAGGATAAAAGCTTTGTATGTTCGGTAAGAGACTTAAAAAGATTGGTTTTTATTAATCTTTTTTACTAATTAATTTTATAATCATCTCATTCTCGAATGTAACATACTTTTCTCATTATGTTATTGAACTGCCGAATATGGCGATGGACATTGAAGCCTCGGTCTCACTTACTCCCGGCAGAGCCCAGGGACGAATCCCCGTCACACTTAACTCGGCCAGCACTACGGGTAGTTCTCCATAACCACATAAGATGCGCTCCGGATCATCCAGGCAGAGCCCAGGTTGAAGTAACGGGTTCATGCTGGTGCTTTCCCCCGGTCGTTCCCGGATGACGCCGGGAGAGCCCCGGTGACCCAGGGCAGAGCCCCGCGGTCGATCCAGCATGGCAGAGTCCCGGCAGAAAGCCCAGGGACGATCCAGGCAGAGCCCCGTAAACCCCGGTGGATTGAAAATGTGCCCGGAACTTTGATAACATTGATGCATAATTTTTATTAATAATTATAATATCTATGTTCCAGAATAGTAATTCATGAATGATTTTCTGAAAAAATCCTTATGCCATACTGGATAGAAGGGAAATGGGAAGGCTTTTAATAAAACAAGTGCAATCATCGCAAATTGTCTTATTCTTTTGAAATGATCCGGGCTTTGTCGGGCTCTACCGGGGATCAAACCGTAGGCTCTACCTTTATCCTCCGGGGCTCTGCCTGGAGTTACCGGGGCTCTGCCGGCATATACCGGGGCTCTACCGTAGCTCTACCGGCTATATATCATACCCCGGATCATCCCGGATTGTGCCGGCAGAGCTACGGTGCTTTTCCGGTATAACCCCGGTCGTTTCCGGCAGAGCTAAGGATGAAGCCAGCAAAGCTATACCTTCCCGGATCATCCCGGACCACCCCGGTGATATTAAATATTTTATTCCATCCGGGGTCGAGTCCCGGATGTTCCCGGATCATCCAGGACGTGGACGGTAGAGTTACGAATGTACCCCGGTTGTTCCCGTTAGTACCCCGGTCGTTCCCGGATCACCCCGGACGTCTACCGGGGCTCTGCCAGGATGTAAGTGAGGCTGTAGCTTTTTAGGAGAAATGGCCAGGACAAAATCAACAAAGGGAAATAACTCAAAAAATAAGAAATGCAGAGCAGCAGTTTCTGTGCACTGCACTTCCTATCAATAACATCCATCATCCTATTAAGTTTCAATTCTAAAGCTTTTTAGCTCACCAGAGCCGAAGGCTCAGGGTGATCTATTAGTATCAAAGGGGGATGCTCCGGCGTCCATCGTCCGTCGTCATGCTTCAACAATCGTCTTCTTCTCTGAAATTTAATTAAAAATTTGGTTTGTAGCATCCTTGTGACAATCACACTTGAATTTGCTCATGTCATTCCCATTGGCCCTTTTAAGGGTCAGCAGAGCTAAAAATAGAAAAAACCTTTAAACATCTTCTTCTACAGAACTAATAGATGGATGATCACCAAACTTTGTCTGTAGCATTCTTGGGTTAGGTTTTTATTAAGTTTGCTCATATGAAATTGATTAGCCCCTTTTAGGGCCACATAAGCTAAAAAAATAGAAAAATAAAAAAAACCTTCGAACATTTTTTCCTTGTGAAATAATTGATAGAAAGATCACCAAACTTTGTAGCATTCTTAAGTAGTCTTTTATCAAGTTTGCACATATTAATTTGATATCCCCCGTTTAAGCTAAAGCTTAAATACCCCAGGTCATGGCATTTCTTCAAATTATTGTTTAAACATATTATATTCTCAAATTTTATATTAGAATATATTGACATTCCAACACTGGAAAGCAGTTGTTTCTGGTGAGCAACTCAGGGCTATCATGGCCCTCTTGTATAATTTTTCAGAAATGGCCAGGACAAAAATAAAGTACTTGTATGAAAATTAACAAAGGGTAATAACTAAAAAAAAAGAAATGTGTAAAAATTCGGACGTATATACATAATTTTGAGCAGTTGCATTTACAGAATGACGTCATACATCTCGTGCCTTGTCGGTATATATTTCGCCATTTTTCTTGCGTTGTAAGATGATTAAAAAGCGTTGAAAAAATGACCTATATAAAAATAATTCTATTGAACATTTGATAATATTTACGAAAGGGACGGACTGCCGACTTTGAACAAGCTTTCGGAAGACAAAATACTTTAGATTTATACTACTTAATTACTTTATTTTCAGCTAAAGCATTTGAAGCTGCACGCGCTCTCGAGATCCTTGCCATCCTGACAACCACGGCGGCAATAATTGTCGTCTGCTTGAAGATATTTTTCAAGAAGGAGAATAACCGTCTGTTGTACATAGCCGCACCCATTCCTTTTTTTGCAGGTAAGGCGATATGTGAATCAGATAAAGTTAAATTTATGTTTTAAAAAGTTTCCAAATATAGTTCCGTTAAATAACTTAAACAAACAGTCAAAAGAAAAAAAAAAAAAAAAAAAAAAAAAAAAGTACTTGTTGTTTTGGAAAACGTCATCAAGTTTCTTGTTTTAATTTCCCTCGTAAACAACAAAAGTGCATTTTTCATTTGTGACCATTTGTAATACAGCGTTCTTGACCTGCGTCCACTTTGATTGATAGACCAATAGATAGTAGAGACCACGAATACGAATTTTACGACTTTTAAACTTCGAGAACGACTACCATAATTAAGAATTATACGACTACAAACGACAACCACGACGACTAAGACTTCAAAGACGGCGTCTGTATATCACATGACTGCGCATTAAATCAAAGCACAGAAGGCGCTGAATTTGTTTGGGTCTCAGAATGTCAGGAAGGTGAAGGTTGTGAGATTATAAACCAATGCTTTCCAGCGTTTTTTTGTGTCGCCTCTACGGAGTAGTGGCGACATATAGGGATCACTTCTCCCGTCGTTTGTCTGTCCGTCTGTCTGTCGTCTGTCTGTCCGTCTGTCGTCCGTCTGTCTGTCCGTCCGAGCAAAACATTTGGGTTTAGGGGCTATATAACAGTAAAGAGAACAAAAGAGAACAATAGGTTCATTCCGTGATCAAAGGGTTTAGGGGCTAGTAGCCCTTAAGAAAACAAAGAAAATAACAAAGAAAATAGCCCCTATAGCCAAAATGTTGGAATGTCCGTCTGTCCATCCGTCACAAAACTTGTCCGGACTACTCCTCATAAAGTACTGGTGCAATTTCATCCAAACTTTACAGGAATGATCAGTATCAAGTCTAGTTCTGCACTGTACGTCTGTCTGTCCGTCTGTCACAAAACTTGTCCCAACATGAAATTGACCATCATGAGGCGACACATGTGATCACTGATCGCTCTTGTAATTGTAGTAAACTGGCTATAAGACTAATTCAATTTAATGTCTATTTGACTTAAACAATTTGAAAAAAAATGAGTTGCCTTAACTGGCAAAACTCCAGACTTCTCGCTTCCTAAGCGAGCGCGCAAACCCATCGGCCACGATGAAGTTATATGTTAACAGCCTGAAGAAAACCATGTTATCCTAAATTAGGGTTTGTAACCTTTATTATTTCGACGCTAACTGTTGTTTAACACAGATGTAAATAATCATGGAGCTTACTATAAGCATGTATATCTACAAAGAATAAAACAATATTAGAAATCTTGGACCATCCGGGAACTATTTTGCTTGAAAATTAATGCGCCTGTCATTTGACCATCTTTACGCAGTGATCTCCCCTTAATTTTTCGGCGATAATGTACATATGAAGGGAAGTAACCGCTTCGAGGAGTTTGGACTACTTTCGGCATTTGCAAATAAGAACATCAGGGTCTGAAATTTCGCTACCATTATTTGTTTGGTCTGACGACACAAACAAATAAAACGGCTTCTAAAACTTTTACGACAACAATTCGTTATATACAGGACGACCTCGGCAGCAAGTATTTTGATTTTTCTATGACCATTAGACAGCTACAGCTTACGTGAAGACTTCCTCTAGAGCCGGCAAAATCAGATTATGATTTACTTGTCTGTTTAACCTGAAGGATACAGACAACTGATTCTGTCGTCCCTTGAAGATTAGTAATACAACTTTTAGAATACGAGTACAGTTACAACTGCAACTTCTGCGACTACGACAAATTAGACTTTATGGCTAGGAACTCGACAAAGACTATAACCGCTACTGCCACGACATTTAAAAGTACCAGTAGAGTTAGAAATTTGACGACATTTACCACCACTGCTATTCAACTACAACTATACAAACGGCTATCAATACGGCTACAGAAACATGACTGCAACTATAACTGCGACCATGACTGCCAATTTTACGATAGTGATGTGTCAAATGCTGATGATGCACTGTTAAATTGATGATTTATTGATATTGATGAATAACATTGTAATGAATCATGATGATGTACGGATAATAATGATGATTTCTCTTGATGATAATGTTGATGATAACTATGTACTGTTGATTATGATGATTATAAAATGATGATTATGATATACTGATGATAATGATGATGAGAAAAAAATGATGATGATGATGATGATTATAATGATGATTATTATGATGAGATAATGATTATTATAATGATGAGATAATAATTATAATGATGAGATAATGATGATTATGAGATATTGATGAACAAATCGTGTGAGCATCACTGGTCAACATCACATCTCCGATTTTTTTTGATTTTCAACCAGGTTTTCCGAAGGAAAAAACTGGTTATTAGATTGAGGTATGTCGGCGGGCGGGCGTAAACAATTTCTTCTGTGCGCAACTCCTTCTACATTTCTCAACGGATTTTGACCAAACTTTTACAGAAGCTTTGTCATCAAGTGCCCTGGCGCATATTGTCGGGGTTTTGCGATTGGATAATATTTGACCTAATTATGGCCCTTTGTTTTTTTCCTTATATAGAATATAGTGAACAATTTCTTCTGTGCGCAACTCCTACATTTCTCAACGGATTTTGACCAAACTTTCACAGAAGCTTTGTCATCAAGTGCCCTGGGTCATATTGTCAGGGTTTTGCGATTGGGTAATATTTGACCTAATTACGGCCCTTTGTTTTGTTTTTTCCTTATAAAGAATATATAGTGAATAATTTCTTCTGTGCGCAACTCCTCCTACATTTCTCCACGGATTTTGACCAAAACTTTCACAGAACCTTTGTCACCAAGTGCCCTGGGGCATATTGTCGGGGTTTTGTGATTGGATAATATTTGACCTAATTATTGCCCTTTGTTTTTTTTCCTTATATAGAATATATAGTGAACAATTTCTTCTGTGCTGAACTCCCTCTACAATTCTCAACGGATTTTGTTCAAACTTTCACAGAAGCTTTGTCATCATGTGCCCTGGCGCATATTGTCAGGGTTTTGTGATTGGCTAATATTTGACCTAATTATGGCCCTTTGTTTTTTTTCCTTATACAGAATTATCAATATATTATAGTGAACAAATTCTTCTGTGCTGAACTCGTCCTACATTTCTCAACGGATTTTGTTCAAACTTTCACAGAAGCTTTGTCACCAAGCGCCCTGGCACATATTGTTGGGGTTTTGTGATTGGGTAATTTTTGACCTAATTATGGCCCTTTGTTTTTTTCTTTTTTCAGAATATATAATGAACACTTCTTCAGTGGCAATTCCTCCTACATTATTCATGTTTTACATTGCACATAGTTACATTGTTTGTTGCATGTATTTGTATTTCAAATACAACATATTTATCTACAATGGTGATAATTGAAAACCTGGTTTCATGACATTGCCATGTTTCTTGTTTATTTATTTATTTATTTGTGCAGGCTTGTTCGTGATAATCGGTGCCATTGTGTTTGTTGTCGACAACGAGGTAAAGAAAATGGTGGAATCGGCGAACCCCTTGGTCCATTTCAAACCTCATGCATCGTTTGGTTTGAGTATTGTTGCTGGTATACTCAATATTGTGGCTTCACCGATGCTGATCTTGGCTGCCAGAGCTATTCCTGGCCTTACATAAAAATCAACGAATATTGATCCCGCGTGAATCTTGCCTTTTGATTTACATTACAATACTGCTTACTTCAAACTTGATATCTTAATTGTTTTAATCGTGAAAGGAATTCCAGAACAGAGCCTATGTGTCCAATTCTTTTTATATTTTTTCAAAAACTTAAAACTTAAGAAAAAGGTTGGTTTAATTGTAATTGTGTTTCTGCAAAGCATGCTGTATATACATATCTATTTTATTTTTTCTATTTTTCATCTTTTCTGAGAAAGGAATTGTCAGCACTTATAGTTTTAAGCTGTGGAGTGTTTTTCAAAAAATTATTTCTATTTTGTTACACATGTATAACTAACAATGCCAATCAAGAAATGGCGTTTATGAAAAGTAAAAAAAAAACTATTTTTTTTTGTTTGGATTTTTTGTAAGCTCATTTTGCATTTCTGAAGGACACTGTACTTTCTTGTTCGTTGTTACCGCATCAGTATGGTTACAATTACAACGAAATAGTAAAATATTTTTAGTTTTTCACGATACTGCCAAATAGATTAAAAAGTTTAACACATTTTTTGAATTATTATTTCAAAATTATGTTGATGTTACGAAAACAAATTAGCACATTAGCGGATAGAGGCAATGCTTGCTTCAAATGATTAGTAGCTTAAACGCTTTCATTTTTACATAAATAAATATTCGTATTTTAAACCTTTTCGGTTTCACATAACTGAAAATTCGTATTTTGAACACTTTCATTTTCACATAACTGAACATTCGTATTTTAAACGCTTTCATTTCCACATTACTGAACATTCGTATCTTGAACGCTTTCATTTTCACAGTACTGAGTAAGGGATACTTTATTTCAAATAATAATCACATCTGTTGAAATATCTTTAATCTTTTTTTTTTCTTAAAAATGTTAATTTAGCAAAATAGCTTACCATTTATGTTTCTCAAAAACAAACTTTTGTTATATCTTTATTGCTTTTAGAGTACCGAGATAGCAGGAACTAAACCCATCATAACTCATTTTTTTGTTATAGTAATTTTTTCTCATACTTTGTTTTAATCATATCTATTTATTATTCAATGTTTATTGAATTATAAAGAAAAATATCACCATTACCTTTTATGATGCAAGTATTTGCATTTTTATACAAATTGTCTATACTCAATAAAGTTCTTTTGTGTATTTTCGAGTTTATTGTGTAATGACCATACCAAAAGCAAGTATAACTATATACTACTGTGCAGATCTAAGCAGATATTTGTCAAGGTAGCATTTTATTCGGCTCTTCTCAAAGCATTCAGCGCACAGCTGCCAAAAATATAAATAAAAGTCAATTTCCACATTAAGTATTCATAACAACAATAAGATGACACTATTACACAATTTTCATTTAATACTTCTATGGTATTAGCTATACAAGGGTGTATACGCACTTTTATTATCCCCCGCCGAAAAGGCGGCGGGGGATATAGAAATAGTCTCCGTCCGTCCGTCCGTCCGACCTTCCGTCCGACATTTTTGTCCGGAGCATATCTCTAAAAGTATTTGAGTAATCAACTTGAAACTTCACAGGTGGATAGACCTCATTGAGCAGGAGTGCAGTGCACAAGAATGATAACTCTACCCTGCATAATTTTTGAGTTATTGCCCTTTGTTATTTTTCAAAATTGATTTTTGTCCAGAGCATAACTCCAAAAGCCTATGAGATATCAACATGAAACTTCATAGGTGCATAGATCTCACTCAGGAGGTGTGCAGTGCACAAGAATGATAACTCTACCTTTCATAATTTTTGAGTTATTGCCCTTTGTTATTTTTCATACTTAATTTTTCAATTCAATTTTTTTCTCAAAAAGTATTTGAGGTATCAACTTGAAACTTCATAGGTGGATAGATTTTACTGAGGAGGGATGCAGCACACAAGAATGATAACCTACCCTGCATTATTTTTCAGTTATTGCCTTTTGTTATTTTCAGCCATCAGTATTCACATAGGTTTCAAATCTGTAATCACTATAGCCATCAGTTTTCTTTACCAAAAGACCTCTTAAAATGGAATTATTCTGCTGTACTACATATACATTCTTCCAATGAGCAAACACATTCGGCGGGGGATGGCCATGTTGACATGGCTCTTGTTAACCATGAACAGAGACTCGTGAATGTGCTCCCATTTACACCGCCTACATGGTTACACCGTATAATAACAAAACTTACAGACTACTAAACAAAACATATATCATTGTCAAAAAAGAGGAAAAACAAGCACGTTACAAAGAACTTACTCCATAGCTTCGTTTGAGAAGCTATTCACGATTACAGGTTTGGCTAAAAACCTTGGACACACCGGGACATAGTTAAATAGTTTAATTTTGTCCAGATAAGGTTGAATATAAGGGAAATTATACAGATCATAATTTGATTGTGACGAGCCGGACTTTACCGAAGACGACGTTTGTCTCCACGAGTTAAGTCTTTTCTTCACTATCATTCGTTTAAAGAAATAACAAAAACATAAATGCAATACCAGACGTGCGATTTATTTTGCAGAGAGGAACAAATTCAACAGCAGTTAATGAAGCTAAGCAGCTTTGATATTGCAAAAAATAATATAACCAAATATCCACGAGATCTCAAGTAAATGTATACGTTTCTTTTCTTAAAAATAAAAGAGAAAAACACAAAGACTAGTCTGTGTATAACTGTTTTGAAAATTAATTACGCCGGAAAGGAAAGACAAAAATATTAAGTATGCGAACCGACTCGCCCAGGAAAACAACAGAGATCAAAAACATTTAAAATAAATGAAATTTCTCTGAAAAACCTGTGCCCGTTTGTCAAATGTCAGATCGCTTGAATGTCGAGCCTCATTCCTTGTGGATATAAAGTTATGAACATCGCTAATTCAATTCATTATGACAAATCTTGCCATTGAAAACCATAAATAGATTTATCTTATTATTATTGTAAACATCTTTACGTATGAATAATATAAAACAGTTAAATTCAACAACCTTATAGCATCATATAAGCGCTTATAGCTAATACACATATAAAAGAAAAATTATACTCATATTTATTTTGTCTTCAAACAAAAAAAAACAAAACATAATTTTCTAAAATATTATCAAAACCCTACTACAAATTTTCAAAAAAGAAAAAAGATGTTTCTTAATGATTATATAATAATAATTGATACATGCATAAAATCTGATTTTAACTTATACAATAACGATTGATGTACATGTATGTATAAAGTCTGATTTTTACTTTTAAATTTTCAGCTAATGTTTTACGGCAATTAAAAAACATTATGTGCATATATATATATTTCCACCCTATTATCTTTACTAGAATATGTTGCTTGTACTGAATCGTCTGGTAGAATGAATATTTCATACACATAAACCTTTAAATACTACACTATCAAGCACGTAAAACTCGTGCACAAGTACTGACCAATACTTTACATTATAAACTATACACGTTACGAATAGACAAATATTTCACGCTTTACTAACGAAACGCGTGAAATAGATATTCCCCTTTCCTCTCAGTTCCAGGAATAGTATTATCCAGCACAAAACCAATGAGTCCTCCAACAAACATACTGGTACTCAAAAGGACGGATAATAATTGATCTATGATGTCATTTCCGGTATCGATGACGTCATGCTCTGTAATCCACATTGGAAGACTAAGACCGAAGAATAAAGAAACTCCTAGAATAAATAGGTTTCGTGGTGAGTTAAGATCAATATACTGTAGATTTGATAACCCTACAGCCGTCACCATACCGAAAGTTATCATAAACATTCCTCCGATTACAGGTGTTGGAATTAAAGTAAACAGTGCCGCAAACTTTCCAAAACAACCAAGGACTAGCATCATAAGCCCGCCGATTTGGACTACACGTCTACTGCCTACTTTTGTTATACCAATTACGCCTATGTTTTCAGCATAAGAGGTAGTTCCGTTTCCAGATCCCCAAATCCCTGCAAGAACGCATGCAACACCTTCTGTGAAAACTCCTCTGTTCACCGCATGTAATGGCGGAGGAGGAGCACCTGCAAGTCTTGCGCATGCGTAATAATCACCAATGGATTCGATCATGGCAGCTATTACGCCAGCGAGCATTCCAAATACACCAACCACGCTGACTTTTGGTACACCCCACTGCCCTGGATAAGGAAAACGAAACCATTTAGCTTCAGCCAGTACATGAATACTTGTGTCAGTTCGTGCCATATAATCCCATTTGGTTTTATCAGCCGGAAGTACATCTGTTGCTGTCAAACAGGGGATTTCAACTCGTTTCATATATTGGCTAAATATAGTAATGAGGAACATTGTAAGTAAGGCAACCCACCAATGACCAGACGCCATTTTGGATCCGGCGGGAAAAAGTGAAATACCTGTTAATGTTATGATTGGCACAATGCAAAGAGGGCCTATATACTTCAACATGTACGTTAGTATACCACTTACTCCTGTAAGCACTTGGAACAGCGAGGCCACAATTATAGCTCCTTGTATTTCACGTATCCGTAACATCCACATTTCACGGTGTTTTTCACTTCCTATTTCCGGCAACCCAAGTTGAGTTAAATTTAGATTTGGTCCATACTGGTTCCTAGCTGTTACGTACTCACATTCCTATTGCAGTTGAAGAAGAATTCCTATAGGTGGTACAACAAAAGTAACAGTCCCTCCTTGAACTATTGGTAGTCTAACACCCAAAGTGCTCTGACCAGAGACAAACAAGATGGTCCCTAAAAAGAATTAAAATGATTATGAATGAAAGACAAACAAAACATTTTTGCATATAAATATCAACGTTTTAGCCCCATTATCAGAAAACAGTAAGACAAATATAATGAATTTGCACATATTCATAAATACGAAAGACTTTTAAGGAATTTTAACTTCATAAATTTATTAACAGCTTGAATTCATGATTTTAACTATATAAATTCATGATATAAGTTTTACAAATTCATAATTTTATTTGTAAGAATATCATTTTAACTTTATCAATAAACGAATTTAACTTCACGAATTTCTAATTAGAATAGAGGTCAAATCGTTCCATTTAAGTTGTCTTTTAAACTTTTGCAGTTCTTTAGAACCAGGTTCCATCCGAGAAACGAATCATGACTTTCTTTAAAAGATATTGAGTTGTTTTAACGAAGACATGAGGTTCTAACTCGGTAAACTCACGGTGAGGCCTGCACGGTTTTATTGATTTATTAAGTTCGATTGCGAAGTCGCCTTCTTTGAACAAACCAGTATTTGTGTCATATGGAGAAACATGTTCGTGAACTGATTAGGACTCGGACTAATAATCTCTGTACAAGGCCACCGCGCCTCACGGTTTCATTCCACAATGATAGATAGAAACTATGTAGAAAGTAAGTGTTGTATGATGCCAATGTAGATAATAAACTTACCAAGTTCACTGATGCCGACCACATCTTTGTCCACACAGATATATTCGGCAAGCATCAATGGAGCTGAAATAATGTCCCCGACAGCTGTCACGTAGTGCTGCAATGAAACGACAAATTTTGTTGTTGTGAATGTTTTAAGGTGTATTTAATAATGACAAGAATATTGAAAAATAAATGAATACACAAATTCAGTCAGTCTCTTATGCTTAGAAGTTTTATTAATGATAAACAAGACAACACGACAAGATTTTGAGTTGGCGTGCAAGGACACCATTTTTACGTTTTCGATCATCCTCTTCTTCGCCACAGCATACATTGTACATGCATGGTAAAAGTCAGACAATATATTTCGCAGTAATGAGGCAACACATTAAGTTATTCAATAATACAGCATTGGATGACATAATAGATTATAATGAATATGTTCATCAAAATTCAGTGGTGCGATTTTCCTTTTCATCTCAACTCAACATAAAATTTATTTAACAATAATCAGTCCGAGCATGCCAGTGTTTTCTTAATTTCAATTCTTTTTGATTATGAAATTTTATATTTAGAGTCAGCAACATCGCTAACATTATATATTTTATGGTGGCTAATTTGGAACATTCTGCGTTGCGTTGTCGATAGCAACCACGCAACCTATATCCTTTTCGTCCTGACGTTAGCGACAACCCGACAAAGCCCCAAACGGCGCGTTGTCGCGCTGTCTTCCTGTCACAAGCGAAGTGCGCCAAACGTCGAGTTGTCGTGCGGTGCGATGTCGCCCTGTCGCTTGGCTTATAAGCCAATCCTTTGATTCGAATCGAGCGACAATGTGACATCACGACAACATGCTGCACGAAAACGCGCCGTTTGGCGTACATTGTTAGCGACAGGACGACAAGACGAAAGTCCAACAACGCGCCGTTTGGCGCTTTGTCCTGTTGTTTCTAGCGCCAACATGACGCACAAAAGCGTTCCAAATCAGCCACCATAATATTTGCTGTACATGAATAATGTATAAATTATGTATAAATTATATCGACCTTACCAAATAGAACATGTGCACTTCAAGCTTGGGTAACCGATTCGCAAAATAATCACCTGAAATCCAAGCAGAATGCATAAATTCCACGGTGGATTATCTTCAACTGAGTATAAAACTCAAATATCACCCTGTTGCCGCTTAACTTTTATTACATTTATTGTCTTCCTTAATCCTTCCTTTTCATTTTTCTCTCCCTTGCCTTCTATTGCTTCTCCCACTTCCTGTTCCAGTTCTCTGCCACCGGAAGTGTTTTTCCTTCATCAATACCATGGTCTAATGCTTCATCTTCGAGTTTCTCAATCTCAAAATCGGATGTGACTTCTCTATCGAATTATTACTTGTTTCTCCTGATATCATGTGCCCATGGATTTCTTCAGCACATATGAAGCTAAGATGAAATTTTGATTGACGATTCCTTGTTCAAATCTGAATTAATATTTCAGTAAGGGTTTGTTTGAATGTTAAGCATCGTTTGGTGGTAAAATTGTAAACGGCACTTCTTCACACGTACGACGGAAAGTATATCTCGGCGAAGACTGCATAAAAATTCGATACCAAAATGGATAATTATAGAGGAATATGAGCTGGAGAGTAGAATTCGATTTTCTTAAGAAGGACTTTGAACTTTACATAAACACTTATATAGTTGAAAAATTACACTACAATGTGACTGACCTATCTTTCCTTTCACTTATGGTGTTACAGTGCACATCTGGATCAATTTTGAGATCCATATGGGATCCACCTGACCCTGCACCCCCTCCACGTGAATTTCTTTTTTTGCAAAAATGTGGATACTTTAAAAAAAAAGCACACACATACACGCACGCTCGCACATATTTAGTGTGTTGTATGGCCACCTTTTATTTTATGATCCGAAAATGTGAATGTACGAAGACCTGTGCGTCATGGCGTTATTCAGCAGGTGCATTTTTTTTTTCGAAAAAAAAGTTAATGACGTCACCAACTATCATTACACTTTGGCTGTGACTGAAAAAAGGATTGGAGCGCCACACTAAATACCGTATTCCGGTATATACCGGACAAGGTGCTTGAATGATAAAATGCTAAAATCTTGTCTTTTTACCCAACGGAATGAACTTTAACAGGTCTAATTCATCTTTTCACACCGAATCAAGTACGATAATAAAAGAAAAATGTAAAATTCGGCGAAAAAAAAACGATATTTGTCTATTTTGTGATCATGATTTCTGCAAGCGTCTAGAGGTACTGCTCCATTCCTGTATTGAGCTAAATCCTTACACTTTAAGGGATGCAGGATGAATGTTGATTGTCAAACGTTTTTAGACAAACACATATATGCGGTGATTTACTTTCAATGTAATTTACATAAAAAACAACCTTAATTTGTTAATATTGTAAATAGTACAAAGAAACAGTATCGTTTTTGTTTGATAACCGTATTTACCTTTAATCTCAACATGGACTTACCAAGTAGTGTGAGTGACACTGACAGGTCCTGTATAGATTTAGTTGGTCATTAGTGTTGAGCGTTGAGAGACGACGTCTTTTGTTCTCTTGAATAAAACATTAAGTGAAAATTAAATTACGAGACAAAAATGTTATTTGACAAAATAGGACTCGCTCTTTTAGGATTAGCTCTAATCTCAAATATTATAGGCGTAGCAATTCCATATTGGTTTTATTTCTCTTTAACCGTGCAAGGTGAAACTGGGTCTGCTAATTTTGGACTATGGAAGTCATGTGGGTCTGAAACAACGGGCAAAGGCGGTACCTTCGTTACAAAATGCATGAACTTCGACAACACGGACGGTTTTACTGTGCGTAAGTAAAATTTAACTCATACCATATTCTCATTATATTATAAATATCTACTTAGTTTTTTGTTATTTGGTGTTGTTTTTTTTAAATATACAGTAAGTATTTTTATTTGGACATCGACATCAAACATACAATTTTATGTATTGTTGTTGCGCAACTAAGTTTAAACGGACCTATTCATTCGGCTGCGATGAAAACTGAGTAACTTACGAGTCGGATATATAGGGTTTGGCGTGTGTATAGGGACCCCTCAATTCTTTGTGTTTAGATATTGATAAGGGTGTTATCACCACAAGCAATTTGCTAAGCCTTTTAAATCAATGTCCAGTGTATGAACTGGACAAAGTAAACTAATAAAGTAATGTTATCATGTGCTAGGAGTGTACCATAAAAACAAGGGGTCATATGATGCGCGCGTATCCTCAAAATTCTGATACCGCGAACAATTTTTCAACCGGTATTTTGAACAAAAACGAGTCACGTAAAAAAAAACAGAATAAATTTGATTTTTTGTTAAATAATTTTAATATTTCAAATGCCTTGAAACAACTCTTCCCTTTCTCGTCAGTATTTCGCGTTGAATGCGATTTGGATTATGTATACTGCGTACACCCGGCGTTGAATTATTACAGAAATTGAGAAAATGTCGATTAAAATTTCAGACGACTGGAAGTGAGTTTATTGTATCTATTTTGTACAAAAAATGTCTTAAAACTCACTATTTACAGAAAATAGACATTTTGATACTACGCACGCTCAAGAGTACTGCTTTATACACTGTTATATTTTATTAATACTGTACTCTCTTCGGAGCAGTCTATAGTTCATGATTGGATCAAAAGGGTGGCACTGGCGAACCAAATAAATAAATTAATGTAATAGATAAGATTCAAATCCTGTGACAAAGTTTGCTCCCTTAAAAAAATGTTGAAAATGTACATCATAAAAAAGGTTGGAGTTAAATATTTTGTATTAAATTTGTTTACTCATGTAGCACTCTGTGATGATAATAGATTTTCGTTCACTGCATAAAATAACTTTCTTTTTATTCATATCTAATTAACAAAAAGAAGTATGCCGATTATGTGGCATTGAAACCGCAATCTTGACTGTCTACCAAGTTTTAAAAAAAGCCTTGTGATAAAAAGCCCCTTGCCAGGAATAGCGACTCAGTGATATTATTTTGTTTGCTTTTAAAGTTAAAGCTATAAAATTTAGACTTTAGAATTGAACTTTGACATTTGTTGACCCTGATTTTGACCCAGTGACCTAATTATTTGTAAACCGAGCTCAAACTTTGAAAAACATTTGGACTTTTAGCACAATTTTAGATTGGCCTATAGAGTTTTACTCAGTGACCTTCTTTTTGTATTGAGAGCTACAACATTAACATTTCTACTAAATGCACAATACAAAGTATATATTTTAACTTTGATATCAGTTGACCTGTATTTCAGCATTATGCCCACATTTCATTCATAGCTACTAATATAGTCAGTCCTCTGTTATTTTAGGGTGTTTTTCCCCAGGTGACCGATATAGGGTCATCATGGCCCTCTTATCTTTATATGCATATAGTTAGTACATCAGCAAATAAATACATATTACAATCTTCTTCATTTTACTTGCTGAAATAATATAACATTACTAGAGTTAATAGAGCAGTATAGTAATTAAGTGTTTAATAATACGTTGACATAGTTTATTTTTCACAAATTCAATCTTGTATCATAAATGCAATCTTGTTTGATTGGGAGTTTTCCCCTATCAGTTGACTCACCGCTGTTTAGGGATTGTTGAAGCCGATTAGATAAATTTGTATCATAGTTTGGGGACTTTTCTGTTGAAAATGTGTCACAGTTAATTAAATCGCATACATATACATGACAGTGCATTAACTGGCGTGCAGGTTTTAGTTACCTGCACTGCAGAGCATGCCCATTGATTGGTTCATTTTGTCTAGGGTTTACATATTGTGACGACGGAGAAAGGGAAAACGATAGAAATATCATATTCAGATGCTCGTTCATTGGTTCCTTTTTCTGTGGTTTCATATTGTGACATCAGGGAACATGTTTTTATTTTTGACTATGATTCAAAACAGAAAGAACATCAAAACACTCGGCAATCTGATTTATACTCGGGGGCTACGCCCCCTCTTACAAATCAGATATCCTCGTGTTTCGATGCTCTTTCTATTACTTAATGTCCCCAACAACACAAGAATGTATGTAAATGTATTAACCAACAATATTAATTTTATCATGTTAACGATCCTGTATGTTGTGATCATTCAGTGAAATAATATATAATAATTAATATGTAGATAATTATGCAAATAAAACAATTTTCAAACATAAAAGACTATGTAAAATAATTATGGACTGCAAATATTTGTGCATATTATATGAAATCATTAAAATTTATGCATTTATTTCTTATTGTAAAATTTGACTTAAACTTTATAGAAAAATAAATTTCTAATTTCATGTACCTCCCATTATTTACACGGAATGTTAAATTCGGTAATATCTTTATAAATAATGCTTTTTGGAACCTACAATATTGATAAATCTTAATTTAAGCATCATATTTATGATTTAAAGCCATAAAAAACTGTGTAAAAATTCAAATGTAAATACATATATTCACAGAATGACGGAAGTAATTAAGGTGTTTCATTCTTTTTACATCTCGTGCCTTTCCGGTATATTTCGCCATTTTTCTTGCGTTGTAAGATTTAAGGTGACAACAGACACTTTCCGTGGTACTCACATAAATGTCATTTAAACAAAGTTATTTTAGTAATAATTGTTATTTATTTAATCTTTGTGCATTAAATGCCGCATGTTAATTGCTTGATTATTAAAAAAGTTATGCCGATTCAAAGTTAGTCTGACCCGCATCAAACGAAGTGTCATAAATCGGCTGTTTTCTCTCGGACCCCTACGTTTCACGCTAAATAATTGCATAATACACAAATATCGCACCAGAGAGGGTCACAAGTTGCGGTAACATACTCTAACAACATTTTATGACCAAGTGACATCTGACCAATTAAAAAGCTGCTGATTAATATCAGTTTAATGCCGAAATTTCTTCAATTCTTAACGTGATTTACTGTCCGTCTGGTATCTGTCGCATATGTCACGTGACTATCGGTAAAATTTGAGGCACTCAGTGGGGGGAAATGGAACGCATTTGCGCACCGCTAGCGGGGTATTTAATTGTTTCCTTTTTGAAGTTTATTATTATTATCATCAGCATTATTATTGTATTATATCAGTGTCACTCTGCCTGTGTATTCGTGTATGAAATTCTGTTAAAATATAAAATAAAATAACAAAAAACTAAGCTTCTGACAGTCTTTTAAAGTCCATGGTAGATGTACAAATAAGAACGGGATATTATATATTTTTTACACCAAATTGATAATGCTTCACATATTTTAATAGAAATAAAAGGTATTACTCGATCATTATGATCTGGCCTTCTTGACTTCTATTATGAATATCATCTATGCACAGCATAGAGATCCAGTTTCTACCGGGATAGACAATAAATTTCATACTTTGTCCCAGATTTATTAGTACTGTGTCCGATTTACTGGCGAACAATTTATTTTCACTGAGAATATATTTTAATATCTTTTTTTTATTTATAGAGAAATAATCATCCTTAGACAATCTAAAATGGTTTAGAAATTTGTCAGGGACACACACCTTACCACAAGTCACATAGGCGTTCACATAAAAAAATGTTGTCTGTTTTTGTTGTTGTTTTAATTGACATTGTTAGAAAACGAGGTTGAATGTAAAGTAAGCCCTTGAATCCGTACAAAAGTCTATCAACTCAACGTAAAATCTATCAGATTAACGGGACAGACAAATTATTTTCACACATTATGGATATTTGAGCAACTACATTTTTAATCAACCCCGTGGTCGTGCGATTTGCCGCTATGCTTAATTATTTATGTTTCATACATTATGTTACGTACATTGGCCGACAATTTCTTAATTTATAAAAAAGGCTAAATGTTGAGATATTCATAAAAGATGTACGTTAGTTGTACGATACATGTATTACGAGAAGTATGGACCAGTATGGACTTGTAATTCACGGATATATGGAACTACCGATTTCCCTCATTGATGCCTCAACAGGGGGCGGAGCGTTATCGATAATCGACAGGTTACGCGAATAGCAGTATAGGTTCCGTTTTAAAACGTTTAAAAACACATTTTTTGGACTAACTGCTTCCAAAATTAAATCACAAATGTGTTTAGAAAAGGTTGATAAATCTACTTAGCAAAAAATCTCATTTTAGGTATTTTCAGTGATAATTGACTCCGTTGTCACCTTAAAACCGTTTAAATATGACCAACATAAAAATAGTTTTATTGAATATTAGATAATATATTCACGGAAAGCGACGGACTTTGCCGAAGTTGAGAAAGCTTTCGTTAGCTGGAATACTTTTTATACTACTTAATTCTTTACTTTCAGCTACAGCATTTTATGCTGCACGCGCTCTCGAGATCCTGGCCATCCTGGCAACCACGGCGGCAATTATTGTCGTCTGCATGAAGATATTTTTCAAGAAGGAGAATAACCGTCTGTTGTACATAGCCGCACCAATTTCTATATTTGCAAGTAAGGCGATATGTGAATCAGATACAGTCAAATTTATGTTTAAAAAGTTTCCAAAATATAGTTCAGTTTAATAACTTAAACAGTCAAAAAGTACGTGTTGTTTTGGAAAACGTCAACAAATTTTTTGTTTAATTTCCCTTATAAACAACAAAAGTGCATTTTTTCATTTGTGACCATTTGTAATACAGAGTTCTTGACCTGCGTCCACTTTGAATAATAGACCAATAGTAGTAGAGACCACGAATACGAATTTTACGACTTTTAAACTTCGAGAACGACTACCATAATTAAGAATTATACGACTACAACAACAACCACGACGACTAAGACTTCAAAGACGACGTCTGTAACTATCACACGACTGCGCATTAAATCAAAGCACAGAAGGCGCTGAATTTGTTTGGGTCTCAGAATGTCAGAAAGGTGAAGGTTGTGAGATTATAAACAATTTTTTTTTATATAGTGCCACCAATGCTTTCCAGCGTTTTAATTGTAGTAAATTGGCTATAAGACTAATTGCAACACTGATATTCAATTCAATGTTTATTTGACTTAAACAATTTTAAAAAGTTGCCTTAACTGGCATTTGAACTCCAGACTTCTCGCTTCCTAAGCGAGCGCGCAAACCCCTCGGCCGCGGTGAAGTTATATGTTAACGGCCTGAAGAAAACCATATCATTCTAAATAAGGGTTTGTAACACTTATTATTTCGAAACCTGTTGTTTAACACAGTTGTAAATAACCATTGAGCTTACTATAAGCATGTATATCTATAAAGAATAAAACAATATTAGAAATCTTCGACCATATTTTGTTTGAAAATTAATGCGCCTGTCATTTGACAATCTTTATGCAGTGATCTCCCCTGAATTTTTCGGCGTTAGTGTACATAAAAAGGGAAGTTACCGCTTCAAAAAAGCGGACTACTTTCGGCATTTGCAATTAACAGCATCAGGGTCTGAAATTTTGCTACCATTATTTATTTTGGCTGACAACCCAAACAAATCAAATACGGCTTCTAAAACTTTTACGACTACAATTCGTTATATACAGGACGACCTCGGCAGCAAGTATTTTGATTTTTCTATGACCATTAGACAGCTACAGCTTACGTGAAGACTTCCTCTAGAGCGGGCAAAATCAGATTATGATTTACTTGTCTGTTTAACCTGAAGGATACAGACAACTGATTCTGTCGTCCCTTGAAGATTAGTAATACAACTTTTAGAATACGAGTACACTTACAACTGCAACTTCTGCTACTACTACAAATTTAACTTTATGGCTAGGACCACGACTAAGACTGTAACCGCTACTGCCACGACATTTAAAAGTACCAGTACAGTTAGAAATTTGACGACATTTACCACCACTGCTATTTCTACTATTTCTACAACTACACCGACGGCTATCAATACGGCTACAGCTACATGGCTGCAACTACATGACTGCGACCGTGACGGCCAATTTTACGATAGTGATGTGTCAGATGCTGATGATGCACTCATAAATTGATGATTTATTGATATTGATGAATAACATTGAAGTGAATCATGATGATGATGATGTACGGATATTAATGATGATTTCTTTTGATGATAATTTTGATGACAACTATGTACTGTTGATTATGATGATTATATAATGATGATTATGATATAATGATGATAATGATGATGAGAAAAAGATGATGATGTTGATGATGATGATTATAATTATGAGATAGTGATGATTATAATGATGAGATAATGATTATAATGATTATGATGAGATAATGATTATAATGATTATAATGATGATGATTAGATAATAATTATAATGATGAGATAATGATGATTATGAGATATTGATGAAAAATTTCGTTGTGAGCTCACTGGTCCAACAATACAACTCTCCGATTTTTTTTTTATTATTTAATTTATTTGGTGCAGGCTTTTGTTCGTGATAATCGGTGCCATTGTTTTTGTTCTGTCAACAAGGGCAGGTAAAGACAATTGGTGGAATTTGGTCGAAACCCTTTGTCCATTTAAAAACTCATGCACATTGGGTTTGAGTATTGTTGCTGGTATACTTCAATTTATTGTGGCTTCCACCCGACTGATCTGCAAGAGCTAGCCTGGCCTTAGATTCAACGAATATTATCCTTTGTAAAATCTTTGCCTTACATTCGGCATATTTCTCAAATTTTGATATCATAATTGTTTTAAATTTTAAACTGTATTTCTTTTTAAAAGGAAGATCGGAAACCAGAGTGTATTGTTTCCAGTTTTTTTTATGTCCCTTTTAAAAGATTTAAAAATTTAAAAAAGGGCGTCGTGGCGGTTTTAATGTTATTGTGTTTCTTTTTTGCAAAGCATGCTGTGTTTATTATATATATTTTCTTTTCTTTCTATTTTTGATCTTTGATGAGAGAGGAATTGTCGCACTTATAGTTGCTTCTTTTATTGCAAGTTATGGAAAGTGTTCTGAAATTATTTCTATTTTGTTACACATGTATCACTAACAATGCCAATCAAGAAATGGCGTTTATGAAAAGTAAAAAATATTTCTTTTGTTTGAATTTTTTGTAAGCTCATTTTGCATTTCTGAAGGACACTATACTTTCTTTTACGTTGTCACCGCCTCATTATGGTTACAATTACAAACAAAATAGTAAATATTTTCAAGTTTTTCACGATACTGCCAGATAGATTAAAAAGTTCAACACGTTTTTGAATTATTATTTCAAAATTATGTTTATGTCGTTACCAAAAACAAATTAGTACATAAGTAGATAGAGGCAATGCTTACTTCAAATGATTAGTAGCTTAAACGCTTTCATTTTCACATAAATTAACATTCGTATTTTAAACCTTTTCAGCTTTACATAACTGAACATCGTATTTTAAACGCTTTCATTTTCACATTACTGAACATTCGTATTTTAAACGCTTTCATTTTCACATTACTGAACATTCGTATTTTAAACGCTTTCATTTTCACATTACTGAACATTCGTATTTTAAACGCTTTCATTTTCACTTTACTGAACATTCATATCTTAACCGCTTTCATTTTCACATTATTGAACATTTGTATCTTAAAAGCTTTCATTTTCAAATTAATGAGTAAGGGATACTTTATTTCAAATAATAATCACATCTGTTGAAATATCTTTAATCTTTGTTTTTTTTTTTAAATTTACAAATTAGTACATTAGTGGATAGAGGCAATGCTTACTTCAAATGATAATTAGATTAAACGCTTTCATTTTCACATAACTGAACATTCGTATTTTAAACGCTTTCATTTTCACATAACTGAACATTCATATTTTAAACGCTTTCATTTTCACATAACTGAACATTCATATCTTGAACGCTTTCATTTTCATTCGTATTTTAAATGCTTTCATTTTCACATTACTGAACATTCACATCATTTGTATCTTAAACGCTTTCATTTTAATATTACTGAGTAAGGGATACTTTATTTCAAACAATAATTACATCTGTTGAAATATCTTTAATCTTTTTTTTAAAAAAATGTTAATTTAGCAAAAATACCATTTATGCTTCATCAGAACAAACTTTTGTTATATCTTTATTGCTTTGGAAGTACCGAGATAGCAGCAACTAAACCCATCCTTACTCATTTTTGTTATTATTGCATTTTTCCTCATATTTTGTTTTTATCATTTATTATTCAATGTTTATTGAATTATAAAGAAAAATATCACCATTACCTTTTATGATGCAAGAATTTGCATTTTTATACAAATTGTCTATACTCAATAAAGTTGTTTATGTATTTTCGAGTTTATTGTGTAATGACCAATCTTAAAGCACGTATAACTATATACTACTGTGCAGATCTAAACAGATATTTGTCAAGGTAGCATTTTATTAAACTCTACTGAACAGCTGCCAAAATGATAAATAAAAGTCAATTTCCACATTTAGTATTCATATCAACAATAAGATTACACTTTTACACAATTTTCATTTAATACCTCTATGGTATTAGATATATAAGGGTGTTTACGCACTTTTATTTATCATGAATAGAGAATCATAAGTTTGCTTCGTGAATACATATAATGTGCTCTCATTTACACCGCCTACAGGGTTTCACCGTATAATAACAAAACTGCCAATTTTACAAAAAATTTTTACCTTTTAAAAAAAAGGGAAAAAAACCCAAACTTAAAAGCATCCATATTTTTAGAAACCCTTTTTCAATTACCATTTTTTAAAACCCCTTTTTGGCACCAAAACCCAAATATAAATTAAAATATTTTAAATTTTTTTCCCAAAAAAGGTTGAATTTTAAAGGGGCAATTAATCCCCAGGTTTTAAACTATAAATTTGTTTTTTTCCCAAGCCGGATTTAAGAGCTTTGTTAGTTTTTAAAATTTCCCCCCTTCCCTTTCCAGGAATGGTTTTACCACCCAAAAAAAAAAATTAAGCCTCCCAAACAAAAAATACTGGTACTCAAAAGAACGGATAATAATTGATCTATGATGTCATTTCCGGTATCGATGACGTCATACTCTGTAATCCACATTGAAAGACTAAGACCGAAGAATAAAGAAACTCCTAGAATAAATAGGTTTTGTGGTGAGTTAAGATCAATATACTGTAGATTTGATAACCCTACAGCCGTAACCATACCGAAAGTTATCATAAACATTCCCCCGATTACAGGTGTTGGGATTAAAGTAAACAGTGCTGCAAACTTTCCAAAACAACCAAGGACTAGCATCATAAGCCCGCCGATTTGGACTACACGTCTACTGCCTACTTTTGTTATACCAATAACGCCTATGTTTTCAGCATAAGAGGTAGTTCCGTTTCCAGATCCCCAAATCCCTGCAAGAACGCATGCAACACCTTCTGTGAAAACTCCTCTGTTCACCGCTTGAATGGCGGAGGAGGAGCACCTGCAAGTCTTGCGCATGCGTAATAATCACCAATGGATTCGATCATGGCAGCTATTACGCCAGCGAGCATTCCAAATAC